CGATAATTAGAACAACTTCATTTCGCGGATCCCGATCGGATTTAAGTTCGGTCAAGATCTCGCCCCACGCGGTCTAATAAACCGCGTACGGAACAGTATCTGTCAAAGTTATTTGGTCCCGTTTTTCTCGCTCGAGTGCAATCTGAAAGGTTCCTTGGGTGTTATTGTTATACACTCGATGGCCAATCTTCCTAACGTAGTTTCTAACCATCTTTTCCAGATTCGGCCCGACTAATACACTGAAGAGGGAATAAATTGCGAGAAAATTGATGGTTTAATTTTTCTCAACCTGACATCAAATACATTTCTGTAAAATGCAGTGAAAAGATTGAAGTACGCATAAATTGAACGAATAACGCTGGAAAACCTTAATATTAAAAATAAGTTTATGAAGCAATGAGAAAACCACAGAATTTCTCGTTAATTTTAAAATTTGATTACATGAACACATTGAACTTACGACAGTAAAGGATTCAACCATAATTGGAGAGAAAATATTATATTGTTGAACGAATTGACAGTTTTGCAATATGATATTATATGCAAACAAGTTGTAGAGTATTTCGCGACGATCGAACAGCCCCGTTACAGCCCAAAGTAAATTTAAATGGCCATTATTTCGTTATTTGAGTTCCCTGACGAACATTACACATTGTGGGTAAAGGGACGGAGGGGGGTGAGTCATACGGGAAGCGTTTGACACTCAGCCTGGGCGGTAGCACATAAACGCAGGGCCGGTGCGGAAAGGGGACTGCATACTTGTGTCTCCCTCTCTCCGCCCTAGAGGCCGTGTGTCCGAGTGAGATGGCCTATTTGATGCTTTAACCGTCTCGTAGAGTAAAGACAGACTTATGCGTCCGGGCTTCGAGTCCTCATCAGTTGACGCTTTCGCGCTGGCGTGGCCGGCACGGCTCGGTAGCCGACTAGTGGCTCGAGGGGCGTGGCGTTCTCGCTTGCTCCTACGGGTCGTATGGCCCCGGACTTCCACTACCGCTCTCAAGACTCCGGTCTCGGGCCTCCCACCCCCTGTTGTGAGGGTATCAATGTCGGTTTCCCGATAAGTGGATTACTGTCAATGTTTTCACGTCGGCGAAGAAGATTCTCTTTCAGCCCCGGCCTACGGCCTCGTTCCTTCCGAAGCGTCGTTCTCCCTTGCTCCCTCGCGGATCTTATGTCTCCCGATGGCGTTCTCGCTCGAACTCGTTCACCCGCAAGCCTTTATCGCCCTTTCCTTCCAGGGCTCGCAAGGTGGATTGTCATTTTGCGACGACCGCGATCAAGTAATTGACAGAGGGAAAGGAGGACCGATTCCGTAGCGAAAACTGTCGTCCCGAATAAACTATGCCGTCTACACGTAACTTTAACCTTTCGACGCCCCCGTTTTATTAAGGGGTATGGCCACGGTAGAATTTTCAAAAAAACGATTTTTGTTTTTTTGGCTTAAACGATGCTTTAATATCATAAGAATAAGTTAGCATTCGACTTACAGCGAAAAAAATTTTCTTTATCGACTTTGAGCATGTAACATAAGCCTACTTGTAGCGCGGCCGTGGAGTATCCGAGCGCGCCGCGTGACGACCTCGGATTTTCGGAGCTATACCATTAGAGAGCACTGGTTGTCTACCTGTACGAAAACATACCTATAGAGGATCATCTAATGCCAGTATGACCGTTGAAAGAACGCCATTCAGTTGCTCTTCTGCTTTTTGTGCGTGATTTTGTATTGTGCAAGTTGAAGCATTTTTTGTGAGCAGCCGAAATGAGTGGCCAAAAAAAGGTTTATCTATCAAAGAAGGGGTCAAAATCAAATACTTGGTCTTCGTATAAGACCAATATTTCGAAGCGTAGACTGGTAAATCGATTCTTAGCAGAGGCAGATGCAGAAGGCGTGAGCGCGTCGGCCAAGAAACTACGACTGTCAACGAGTTCGCGTGATAATGACACTAACGCTAAATTCGGTAACAGATTTATAAATTTCGTAACTGTTATGAACGCAATTGCTGAAGTGGTTGTTTGCAAAACGTGCGGTCAAGATGTAAAAATCACTGAATCGGCCATGCGCGGTTTGGGTTTCAAGATCGTAATTTCTCGTAACCAGTGTGAGAAAACTGAAATACCTAATTGCCTTTATGTGAGAAATGGATATGAAATTAATCGCAGAATCACCTTAGCGATGCGATTATTAGCTGTAGGTTTGAATGGTATAAAAAAGTTTAGTGCCTTCATGGAATTGTCACGGCCGATATACCATTCCTTTTATGACAAACTTGTCGAAGCAATTGCTGTAGCAACGAAAACNGTTGATGCGTCGTAAATTTTCCGACGGTATTTCACTGTATATATATTTAGAAACTATTTCTTTTAAGCTAAGATAATATTCTAACTTCGGTTCAGTGAATGGAACAATTGAATCACTAAGAAACTTGTTAACATTTAATAGAACATGTTCTATTATATTCTTTATAAAATTCTGTAAATTATTATTTTACAAAAACTACGTTAGGTGGGTCAGGGACGCTCCACAGTAATACTAAAATAATTTTCATTAATTGTTTTTGTATATAAATATTTATTTTCTTTATGAAATCCATTCTGCCCCTCGAGCGATTCAAATTCCGCGCTGCTCCTGCCGCTAGTACGCTGCGCGGCCGGAGAGGCAGAGCGGACAGGAAGAAACCATCGACGGAATCCAGTGCAAATATAGTCACTGACTCTTTGATCCGGTTCCACGACTCTAGTTAACCGAAGTTTAAGTCGTTTATACATGGTTTACATCTCTTTTAAACTAATTAAACTTTTGTTAACTCTCGTTGTGGAACAGGGCCTAAGTCCGGCATTTTGGTTTCTGTGAAAACCATTGGAAATGCAATTCATGAGTCCTTCCCCAATTCGAAAACCTCAAATAGTGTTCTCATTGGTCACTGTAGTATTTAGGGTTGAAATTGGACCTATCAGCGTGCTGGTATAGGTTCAAGGCAGACGAGTGAGCTTGAGTGAAGTTTGACGCTAGTACACGCCAGTAGGATAACAGCAGATAACGTGGGTGAGGTTTCCGATAGCTGGGTGGGAAAAGTGCTCGAGAACTTGTTCCCGTTTACGGAATTCGAATTGATCGCGAAGAAATCATTTTAAAAAATTGTGTAGAGGTGTTAACGTCGTTAATCCATTCAAAAAATGCAAGAGGAAATCATTAAAATGACATCTATCGATTGAGTGTCTGATTGGTTAAGGCAGTATTCGATGCAAGTATGGCTGCCCTGCCATCACCTACGCAGGTATATAACAATTTTTACGATTCTACTGTGCAGCAGGCCTCGCCGCAATTCGGTTTATCACCGAAAATGAGTCTGTACATTTCTCTTCGGTATTACATGATTAACCAAGTTTACGCGAGGAAAGACTGTCGAGTAAGACCGAGCTGTTAAAGTTGCTCCACTCGACTTCCTCGTAGTGTTCCTGACAGGAACAGAGTATAAGCCGGGAATTGCTCCTTATTTAGGAAACATGTTCTCAAGTATTTAGAACGTAGATGATGGACATGCATACAAACCACAAAACGCATAAACATGCATAAAAAATGCATAAAAACCTTGTATAGCTGTATTTGTATTTATGATTTTGTACCCTGTCAATGTGATATGAGTGTTAACGTCATAAAGTCATTTGGCATTTGATAATACTTGTCTTTTATGGTGTCGAATTGGGGTCAGTGATAGTAATGGAAACAAGATTTTAACTTTAAATATTGTGTACTTAAAAGTGTTGCCAATTTTATTTTATACAAACATACTAAAGCACGTGTAAATTCTAAGGTTGATCATAATACTTGATATGTTTATATATTACTTACATGTGATAAATGTAATTTAATTTCCTAAAGAACCAATGTTTACAACTATATCATACACAGACTTCTGTTAGAACATGGACTGCTAGCATAAACTGTTAGAAATGATAAATTGTGTGATTAACTAGATATCCAGTTGCCCATTACATGCATGACCAAAATGAATGAAAATAAGATCGAAAATACCACCGTTAAAATGAGGTTTGCAGGTTACAGTAGACTTGTTATTTTTTAACAATTACTTTCTTTTTAAAGGAGAACAATAATATTAAATATAAAAAACACTTCTGTTGAAAGTAAAGCACAAAAAACGTTATGTTCTGTAACCTAAATTTCATACATAGATGAGTCTGTACGTGAATAATTTGTTCTAATATTCAAGCAGTCTCGAATGCAACAATATTGTGGTATTACAAAATGTCTATTTTCAAATAGGTCACTTTTTTAAAGTAAAGTATACCATATAGGCACTGGGTATATAACAACTGCTATTAAACAATCTCGTGGCATATAAAGGATATCCTGTAGAACATAGGTTTCATTTCACTATCATCAATCTAGTTTTTAATTGAAATCTGTGTTGTCATGGTATTATATATTCCATTACCCCATTTAATTCTGAACCTGTTCTGTAAATAATAAAGTTGTAATGGTACATATACACATTCATATATACGTGCGCGCGCGCGCGTGACCATGTATCATGGACTTCCGACTAGACAAATGTGGCATCAATTGCGTTTTTTCAAAAGATTATTAGTAAAAATTAGTGATTCATTTATTTTACAATAGTAACTTGTTATAGGTGGCTGGAAGCCATGCTGCCATATATGAAGCATATTACAATCAAGTAGGTTGTTTATTAATTCATATGCTGATTTCATCAGCTCAGGAAGAAAGATAAAGTCTGTCTTTGTTTAAAGGTTGATCCAAATGGATGTGGGCAAATCGGTGCGATGGAAGCTGCTAGATTTCTTAAGAAATCACAGCTCAGCGATGATGTCCTCAGTAAGATATGGGATTTGGCAGACCCATATTCTCGAGGTGCTCTGGACAAATCTGGAATGTATGTCGCGCTTAAACTATGTGCCTTGGCTCAAGCAGGCAGAGATCTTAGTATGGCTAACTTAAGCATTGAAATGCCTCCTCCAAAAATGGTAAGATTCTTTCAACCCATCGTAGTAAAGAACTAAACAATTATATTGTTCAATACCCACCAGGGAGACATTCCAGCAGCTTTAAAGAAGGGTAACATCACGGCTCTTGTGATTACATCCATTAGTAACGGAGATTGGTCCATTAAACCAACAGAACGTGCAAAGTATGATCAACTATTCGATAGTTTGCAGCCTGGAAATGGATATATTCCAGGAAATAAAGTAAAGGGCGTTTTAATGGATAGTAAACTCCCTTTGGATACGCTTGGAAAAATTTGGGATCTTGCAGACATGGATAAAGATGGAATGTTAGATAGACATGAATTTGTCGTTGTAAGTAATTTTTGAATAATGAAAATCATTACTACTAATATTGCTATTGATAAAGTAACTTTGGGATTTAATTGAACATTTAAGAAACTAACATTTGCATATATGAAATGGTACCAGGTGACAGATTTTAAATCATGCTTTTTGCAGCAGTAATTATCCAATCACCTGTCTCTTGGTAACATTGCTGCTTTTTATAATCTCACAGGCTATGCATTTGGTATACAAAGCATTAGAAAAGTATGCGATTCCCAGCGTATTGCCACCAGAATTGATGCCTCCAGGGAAAAGGAAAGAATCAGCAATACCAGTTTCCAAGTCTCCGGTACCACAGGGAATGGGAGGCCCGCCACCTATTCCACCTTTGCCGAATGTACATGCTATTAACACACTAGTCGGCTTAGAAAATGTGAAAGTGAGTTTTACCATAATTTTTAATTTCAAAACCCAATGATATTAAAATATTTTAATGGTTAACAGCCTCCGGCAGTGCTCTCATGGATAGTACCAGCAGAAGATCAGATAGCAGCGGATAAATTATTTTTGCAAGCAGATATGGACATGGACGGGTTTGTGTCAGGAGTCGAAATTAAAGATGTCTTCCTTCAGAGTGGACTTCCTCAATCAGTACTTGCAGACATTTGGTATGATATACAGACAATTATTTTCTAGCTATTCGCATAAGAACCAGTAAATACAAAAATTCGTTGCCTTTAGGGGTCTATGTGATATAAATCAGAGTGGAAAGTTGAACAAGGAACAATTTGCCCTAGCAATGTGGTTTATAAAACAGAAGATCAGGGGTATTGATCCACCACCAAGTTTGGCACCAGATATGATGCCACCAAGCTTAAGGAAGTTGCCGGATGGTGTTGTGGTACGTTTTTTATTTAATCAGATATAATAATTCCTAAGGTAATGTTTAAGGTATGCTTTTACTACAATTCAAACATATATCCTTCATTCAAAATATATGTTGATCTACAGTGCCTGAGTATGAAGTAATGAAACCAAATATTTTTCAACTAATTCTTTGCACAATATCTGTAATATTTATTCAATTATATACATATAACTAAGCGTTATATCGTACTACGCAAAATTAAAATATCATTTAATATCATAGAAAAGTTTGAGAACATCTAAACTGCAGGGAACATAGACAAGTAATATTGTTAACATATTCATTATCTACCGAAAACCTATTAAGTGGTTTTGCGATATCCGTGATTGTCAAATATCCCTAAATTCGCCGGTAAATAATGTGTTAATTTTAAACTTTAATTGCATAAAATTGGTAAATTAATGTTTCGTATATTGCTTGCGACCTGTGAAGGCCCTCCAAAAAACTAAAAATATCACAAAAAGTATAGCGACCCCGCCAATTATAACAACATAGTGGTCAAATTTTATTTCCAATTCTCGAGTTACTTTCAACTTTATGACTCCGGCAAGTTGTCCATTTTGCCAACAACTAAAATCAAAGTAAAAATGGGGCTAAATTTAAAAACTAATTCCTGTGTTGCTTTTAAACAATAGACTTATAATGTACGAATATTGTTATTTGCGAACCTGTAAATGTTGCCGTCTGCAAATTCTAACTTTTTAAACGATATACGTTTTTTCGCGTTAATGCGTATTCTTCCTCCTGTCTGCTCTTCTATGAGAGAAGGTGTGATTACTTGGCCTGCAACTTTCCATTCAATAGGTGTCTCTGAGTTCAGATTTCTAGAAATCATTGATAGTATTTCATTTTGATGATTGAAAAACTAATTAAATTATAAGCTCTATCTCACCCTGGACATGCAATTTCACATTTTGTGTTACATTTCTCATACAGAGTTATTCGAACTGCCGTCGGTAGCAGTTCAGGAACACCTTGAATCATCGAATAAATTCCAGCACTATTATTAGCGGTTTCTATTATTCGACCGAATTTGTCACGTACTTCAAAAACGATGTTTTTCCTGCATTTTACCTGTCATCACGTAAAAGTCCTTTTATTTTTGCTGGTAATATAATTAATAATATATTAAACGATTACTTCATATTTATTTTCGAATTGTTTTTATTTATACGTTTATATTATTATGCTTCTTATTTAAAGTTTATGACTCATACTTATACCTTACTTAGTGCTCAATGACGTTTTTTACGTAATTAAAGACTACCGATAAAAAATATGTTTTAATATTAAAAAGGCTGTATGAGCGCAATCCATTGATTACATATTAATTCCGTAACCAAGGTTATTTAAGAATTACTAACAATTTAAATTGATTACTTACATTGTACACGTAATACCACTGTTACTAATTAATAGTTGTTTCAATATACCTTACAAAAACCGACCATGATCTCTGTTTTTCGGTCTTTCACAACTTTGATATCCTGAATTTTTTTCGGTGTGTGTTTAGATCTGCATGGTAGTTTATTCCTGAAAATGGGTAAAATAGTCTTCATCAGAGTCCCAAGTTCTTCACTGTAAACTTCATCATTCTGAGGTTCAGTTATCCCTACAAAATTTTCTGTTTGTTCATCCACAGATTCTTGATCTTTGACCGTTGTTGATTCTTCTTGGGCCATTATGTCTTCTAATTCACTTTCTTCAACTGTACGTGTTAACTTTGTTATTCTCTTCTCTACTTTATATTAAAATTAGAATGACTAAGAATAATTTTTTAAGCAATGCGTTTGAAATATTTGTGCCTTAAGGTGAAGTGAAACCTCCCTCAAATCAGTCAATTCGAATACAACACTTTTTTTTAACGGTATTGGACCAAACCGTCCGAAGCTTTGACACATTACTCGTGATCATCTAAGAAGTGTCCTGACACATTCAAAATTTGGATTTTTCATATAAATTTTTTAACTTAGCCCAGACCAGAACCAAAATGGCGTCAAGCCATCATATTTCGATCAATACACAATTATCGAAGGCTCTGATATGAGAAACGAAAGGGTCAGGACAATTTTACGCCAATTTAGAACATTCTGGTAATCGATAAACTCGCATTTGAACGGGATAAACGCAAAAAAAGGTGTTGTATGCGCTTCTATGCTAAAACGATGGTAATACGAGGTTTCGGAGTGAAAATTTAATTGACCTGGAAATCACAGATGATGCAGGGGGTCCCTCTGCAGTCAATCAGGGCCCCAGAAAGCATGAATCCAGATAATTTCTAGCATTTTACTTCGATTTCATTATAATTATTGTATGAAAACAACAGGTGGAATATGCCATTTGGTACAATACCCAATATAATTCGACACAGCTGTCAATATAAAAACGAACGTCGGCAACGTAGGCATTTAGAAAAATCTTCTTTATCGACGTTGATCAAGTTCCTCGACGTGTTTCACTTCACCTTAAAGTTACGAACATGTTAAGGTCTGTGTACAATCCTTTTCAAAAGTTTTATTTATCGTAATGATTTTTAATTATCAAGATATTTAATTTTCATTGGCCTACTCCGATTATGCTTTACAAAAATCAAAACAATTTATAATAAATCGACCCTTACCGTATTTTGAACTCCAATGTATATACATAAAGATTGTCTAGGAGAATTGGAAATATCTTACTTTGTCGTTTGTACGGTCGTAAATTTAATTTAGGAGCACTTTCGTTAGCAACGTATCTATGTGCGGAAGACTCTAACAATGACACGGTACAGTAACCGTATTTGATCCTTTTACCAACAATGTCACACATCGAACATTGTGACCAGTCTGTCCAGGTGGAATAAATTTCTATGTCTAATTCTTGAATTACCGAGGGCGGCATTACATGTTTTTTTAAAGGTGCAGTATCAGGATGCACTATATTTATATTATCTAAATTACTATCTATTGATAAATAATAAGGAGCCCCTATTATTTCCACCAATTTGCACCAATATTGGCCTGCTTGGTCCATCTGAGTAAAATTGTATAAAATCACCCTTAATTTGTATACATTACGTGTAAACTAAATGTTAAATTATATAAACATAACGTACGTAAGCATAACGTATAAACGTAACGTAGTAAACATACGATATTTTACAGTAATAGTAAAATAACCCACAAAATATTTACTTGAATATCGAACATGCCCAGGCTTTGATCCTCCAAAGAAAATACAGTGTGTTCAGAATAGTCTACCAGTTTATTGATAACACTATGATTGCTGCTACTATTAAATAGCCACTCTACTGTTTCTGGTAAAGTTATTTCCAGAGGTGAAATACAAATTTGGCACTGTAACCTAGTTAAGAAGTCGGGGGGGTGTATTACTTTGCAATTTCGAAACTGATTTTTTTAACAAATTGATCAGTGACATTGCCCTTGTTTTGAAATCATAATAATGATAAATATTACAAAATGGAGAAATAAAATTGCAATAATACATACGTTATGGATGTTCCTTCCATTGCCGATAACGCAATCGGATATAGTGTTTTTTCTGGGCCAATTTCCATGAACTTTTCTCTTAAGCAATTGTAATACTTTTGCCATTGTTCCCTGTGCATTTGACGAATAGTCTCATTGCTTCCCGGATATTCAAATTCATTAACATCCAAAAATATTTCATTTCCTACGAATAGGGTATATATTCTGTTAAACAAAATTTCTCTGAACATTTGAAAGATTATCACATTTCAAACCTTGCATAAGTTTATTCATTTTGTTCTTTAATGTTCCGTATTTGTCTTTAAATCTTTCTTTCGCGTCAAAAGTAAACACTATAATTATTCTACAGTGCAGCAAAAGCGAAATGCTAGTGAATTCACGTATCATTTCTATCTTCTTGTTACGTTTTTATATAATACTGTAAATGTTTATTTTCTGTTTTAATTTAGTTATGTGTTTGCTCTCAAGCCTTTGACATTCATGTATGCATTATGTATCATTGGTTACTGGATATTTTAAGCTTTCTCTTGTTTACCTGATTTCTCACTTGTTAGATAAATTTTCACAATTCGTAAAAGTCAGTTTTGACATCAGTGCTGAATTTAATGCAAAATGGAGAGGTCAAAGGCCCATAAAAATTTGTTGGATAATAGAGAGCGACAAAATATAAACGTGGAATATTATCTGCACATTTTACCAGAATGCATTCAAAAAACACGATCCTCCATTGATAGCTTTAGCGAGGAAGAAGGCTACAAATTCTTTGTACATAAATAAACTACGTCAAGAAGCGAGGGAGTCAAGATTAGAAGCATTATGTACCCCGGATAATTCCGGAAAGCTTTATCTTAAATCGTTGAAAAAATATAAAAAAGAATTTAGAATTCGCATGTTATACGATAAACATTTTATCCCCATTTCTGAGAACGATAGGCCAAATGAGTTGAAAAATATAAAATCATCGAACATATCACTTAACAAACAAATGTAGATCATGTCTGCAAGGATTAAACAAGTTTGCCGAAAGATTGCATAAGTGATATTCTTTCGGAAGAGTTGTACTACATACTAGTTTAAGGGCCCAGTAAAACCAGGTCAGCCATATTGAATTTTGACGTCAGAGGTGAGGAGAACCCGCAAAATTCCCAACTGGTATTTGGATACATTTTTTTCGTTTTCGTCAAAATGTGGTCGCCGTAGTAATTAATGGATGTGAAAAATGTCAGCTGGTCCATGTTTATGTTGACGTTGTGTTCATTGCCGAATTATCACTTCGGAATCCTAACCTCGTTAACGAGCTAATTATCGGAGAGTGATATCTCGTTTCATTGGGCACGATACGTCATAAACTGACCGGCTGACACATTTCACGAGTACATAGCTTCTTCGCGTCGTGTTTTTTATTAGCAAACGTTATTAGTTTCGTAGAACGCTGATTGGGAATTTCACGCAATTTCGTCGCCTCTGACGTTAAAATTCAATGTAGCTGCCATGGCTTTACTGGATCATCAAGTATTGAACGACCAAGCATTAATATTTATAATTCGTATTTTATTATATCAATTAAATGAGATAATTATGAAAGAAAGAGGTTTGAGTCTACTTAATATTTCAGGAAAACAACAACATTTCTGGTTATTCAAATCCGGAGCTGGACATGATAAGTAAGGACATTGCAGAGTTAGCGCGCGAAAGGCACACAATGGAGCAAGACATCGCGCAAAAGGAAGCAGACATTAAAATAAAAAATGGCGAGATCAAGAGTCTGCAAAGCGAATTGGACACTCTTGCTGCTACCTTGAAACAATTGGAGAACCAAAAGGGGGAGGCTCAAAAGAGACTGAATGATTTAAAAGCACAGGTGATTTATTCATGTTCGTGGCTAATTTCGAATGTCCTGCTTGGTGGACTTGCAGTTTCGCTTAAATATGTACGTGCACTTTTGAACTGCGCGTAAAAGATAAAAAGGACGAATGATAAAGAAGGGTGTTTTCTTTGTGAAATTTGTTGATATAAGTAGTTTCTATTATTTTTCTGGTTTAATCTTGTTGTGTAAATGAATGTTAACCCATCATGTACTAAACATTAATGAAAGTTGCATTTTTGTAAATCATTTTTACAAACGGTTCTTTAAAATACTAATGACGATACAATTATCTATGATACAAAGAATGTCTTAGTATCGACAAAAATATTTTTCTGATATGTTAAGGGGGAATAGTATGTTTCAAAAAAGCCAGAGTGCTGCCACATAATGGCAAGCAGTGGCAACATTTGTGATGTAACACTTGAGATGTAAGCACTGATGCCGTATCGTGCCGTGGACGTCACGGCACCGTGATTTTGATATTAAACAGCCTTATCCCAGTAACGTCAAGCGTTAGTCACCGGGTGCCAGGCATCAATAAAAATTTCATACTTCACGTAAAGAAATAATGACTTTGTTTATGAGAAAATCATTAGTAAACAGATAGCTATTATATTACACACCAAAAGAACTCGGCATTTATCAGTTTCGTGCTTTTTTCATGATGTGTGTACGTATTGCATTTAATGGAAAATTTTACAAGGCTTCGATAAATATGGTAACGTAGCTGGCTGTTTCTGCCGGTCGTCCACTGCGAATCTTCTACAGCGCATAACGTCACGATGCCCTATCAGCGCTCGTGGCGGAAAGTCGGTAAAGTTTTATGCGAGGGAAATGTCCTCATTGACGGCTTCGCATGTTCGCATCCATAAATGTCGAGTTCGGCTATTTAACGGCAGTTCCCAAAGATAGCGTGTGAAGTTGACAAATATACAATTTTCCCTGCGTGGCCCTTTTTTGATATTCATTAGTGGTTTAGTGTAACAATGCCGTAAGCGTTGAACGAGTAACGACACAGGCCATGTTGGACCGCTATGACAGATTCGTGGGCTAGTAATACGGTTTTTACTCATTATTTATATTTTTTTCGAACAAATAATTGAAAAATCTGGCTCCGCAGGGAAAATTATATTTTCCGAAGGCTGTGATTTTATCCATTCAATTTATTCAAAATGCATCCTGTACAAACAGTTTGGGGAGCAAAGTTTCCCCACTTCCAGGTCATAGAAGTGAAAACGCAGACAGAGAAAATGATATACCATTCCCACTTAATGCTGAATATATATTTATCTTCCTCGTCTTGAAATTTTGACTAGGTCGTTCTTTTTATCTAACCGCAGACAAACGAATTGCGATTTGGAAAGCATTAATAATTGCTTAGAAGTATCTTAAATTCGCCAAGCTGTTGCACAATTCGGATATCCATGTAGTTTTGATAAGGAATACACTTCTACTTTTTTTTAATGTAATTTTAATTGTACATTTGTATTTTTTTCATTTTTTATATATTTATTTATTTTTAAAAGTTGCTTATTCCTTCATTAAGATTTTTGCTTCGATGGATATGTTTTGTTATGTTTTTTTGTTATGTTTCGCTTGTAGAGGACCGATGTAGATAGAGAGTTGAGTGAGATCGAACAGGAGATATGCAACGAGCAAGAAAAGGTACACAATAAGCAAAATACTTTTTCCAATGTTAAAATGTCTAAAACATTTTCTATCATTTCAATGCTGAGATATCACTGCTATGCTTTATTGCTATGCATGCAATTCCTCAAATGTATACACAATACCTAATCTTGACGGAGAAATACATAAAAAATATGAACAAAACATTATTAAACTATTGTACAAATTTATAAAAATATTTCATTACATAAGGTGGCAAATTATTAATTTGGATCTAATGACTGGAATATGGAGATTGTAAGAGTACCTGAAGACAGAGATTTAAACTGTGCTATTGACTACATTTCTTTTTAACGATTTATTCTGGTATGTGACTTGCTGCCGTAATGTACTAAGCTAATGAATTGTTGGGTAAATGTGGGGTATAGGGGATCCATGTCCGATGACCTTGATCTTGACTTATATTGTCAAGGTCACCCTGAGTGACTTCCACAAGGTTTTAGCCATCGATCGTTGTCTGTTAAAAAGTTATTATCAAAATAATTTTGATGAGTTGAACGTACGTTTTCGGCATCGGGTGTACATTGAAACTTGACCTTGACATATAGTGTCAGTCACCCTCCTAAATAACCTCCATAAGATTTTAGCTGTCTCTCGTTGTTGAATATACATCTAAAGGCTTGTGTATTACTGTAAGTAACTGGTAGCCCGTCGCCTCACGGTGTCCGGATTCTGACCATTAACGTAACCTAAACCCACATTAACTCAAATTAATCATTTCAAACATAAGAAATACGATATATAAAGTTAAAGGTACGTAAATATTTTTAACCTTTTTAGAACGAATTAATTTGAGTTGATTTAGGTTCAGGATAGGTCATAATTTCGAAAAAAACGTTAATACGTTTACCGAAATGGTGTCTTCTTTTAAATAAGAATTTAGCGAGATAACGACTATGAGTGATAACAGAATATACACAGGAAAAGTCAAAACAGAATAGTAAGTGTATGAATATTTGTATACAATGTGTATATACTACGTTCTGAGCTTTAAATGGGTGGTACATTTTCAGTTCATTAAGATTATTTTGTTATTAACTTTTTAACAAACGACGAGCGACGGCTAAAAATTTGTGTAGGTCACTCAGGAGGGTGACCTTGACAATATATATCAAGGTCAAAGTCATTGGAGGTGGTCCCCTATACCACCAACGTTTACCAATTTTTGTAAAAACTAACACTAATTTTTGACAGGCTAAGAACTAGCACTGATTTAATTAACATTAATCTTTATTTGTTATCTTCTAAAGGTTGACAAATTGCGTCAGCAAGCTGAAGAACAAGAATCAGTGTTACGCGTTCAGGAGGAAGAATTGAATTCCAAACGGCAGGAATTGGAGGGTTTGCGCCAAGAAGAACAAGAACTAGAACAGCAACAGAACAAAAGCAGGGACCAATTGAACGATCTTACGAAAAATCTTCAGAACACTCAGATACAAATTAGCCAAGCAAAAGCAAAGATCACACATCTGGAGGAACAGCAGCGGCAAATGACCGATGCCATTGCGTTGTATGATTCTGCGCTTGCAACTGGAGATGCTTCCATCGTTCCTGATACAACTCTTCAGTACAATCCGGAAGTCGAAGAGCCAGAGTACATACTTTGAACTCATAAATTATACCTGTTTGATCTTTTTAAATTTTCCGTCTTTATATTTATAACGTAGGGTGTTAGAAAAGTTTGAAAATACTTTAATATTTTATGGTACCACTCAAAAAGCCCGAGTTGACCGTGCTGCCAGGTAACGATAAACAGCGGCAGCACTTGTGACGTAAGCGCCGTTGCTCTACCGTGCCGTGGAAGTCATGGCACCGCGATTTTTATGTTAAGCAATCCTATCCCAGTAACGTCGAGCGTTAGAATCCCAGGGTGCCGGGCCTCATTAAAAATTTCAAATTTCGCGTAAAGAAATAAAGACAGTGTTACTAAGAAATTCATTAGAAAGTACATATCTATTGTTTTGCACAACAAAAGAACTCGACTTTTACAAGTTTTATGCCTTTTCATGATGCGTGTACGTACTGCATCTATAGGAAATTCTACAAGGGTCTCGATAAGTACGGTCACGTAGCTGGCTATTTCGGCTAGTCGATCAGTGCGCATCTACAGCGCATGACGTCACGACTAATGCTCGTGACGAAAATACGGTGAAGTTTTATGCGAGGGAAATGTCCTCGTTAACAGCTTCGCATGTTCGCACTCAAAAATGTCGAGTTCGGTCATTCAACGGTAATTTCCAGTGATATGATGTGAAGTTGACAAGTGTACAATTTTCCCTGCGTGGCCCTTTATTTATTTTGATTCTCTTACGGCATCGACAAAACCACTGTTTTGTATAACAATGCCGTAAGTGTTGAACAAGTAACGGCACAGGCATTGTTAGACTGCTGTGACAGATTCGTGGGCTGCCAGTACGGTTTCTACTCATCATTTATATTTTCTTTCTGACAAATAATTTAAAAATATGGCTCCGCAGGGATAGTAATATTTTTGAAAAGCTGTGATTTCGTTCATTCGAGTTACTCAAAGTACATCCTATACAAACATTTTTGAGTGCGAAGTTTTCCTGCTTCCACCTCCCGTAGGTATAAAAACGCACATAGAGAAAATGATGTACCATCTCCCCTTAAAGGGTTTAAAAGTTTTAGTCAATAGCTATATCCGTTGGACATTGAATGAGGAAGAGCATCATTTTCTTAAATGGAATACCCTATTTTTATCATGTAGCGTTATAGATGATTGTGGAAACTTTCTAAAAAAACAAACTGATAACTTGTTTCTGTCAGAAATTGCCTAGTTATGGGTTTTGGAATTAACTGTGCCGCCAGCATCAGCATTATTCGTGGTGCCCCTCGTGAAAGTTGAATAGTCGGATTTCACACACACACATACACACGCAGGGCGGGGGGGGATTTTCAAACTTTTCTAAGCCCCGGTAATTTGCTACGGTATAATAAATATATTGGTTGATAATGGATATATTATACGTAATAGATATGGTAGTCCATAACAGAAATATTATTTTACAGAAAATTTGTATAATCCTAATCCTAAGTAATTTTATTCATTGATTAGATGTAATGGAGACACCCAGAACGTGAATGTTAATGGGGTTAATGGCGAATCAGCATACTCTTTCTCAAAAGCGAATGGACCTGGGGAATTGAGCGGATTTGGAGATCAGGATCTTTTTGCGTCAAGTAAAGCTAAAGAAGCTTTCGGTGCTCCGGATTCCGATCCATTTGAAAATACATTTCAGTCGCAAGCCAACGTAAGTTTTTATTTCATTAAATCAACATGTTAGTATGGTAATTTATCAAATTATAACTTACATATAAAATTTTGATTCCAGCAGGGAGGATTTACTACGGATCCGTTTGCAGCATTTAATAATGGAGCCACCTCAAAACAGGATCCGTACGACCCATTTGGTGATGGAAAGAAAACAGACAACAAGCCTACTGCTGTAAGATGTTTAATTTTTCTTACATAGATACCTAGATACAAATAAAGTACAAATATAATAATCATTTTAGATAAGTATACACGAGACGGTATTACTGCAGAAGAGCAGTTATCGTGTTAATCAGATGAACTGTGCGATAAGTAAAAATTGATTGTATTATGTCCGATGCAATGAAAACAAAAAGGAGACATATCTACCTGTTCGTGCAATGTATAATCAAGTTCATTACAAATATTTGTTTTCTTCAGACCACCGCGGATCCCTTTGGTGAGGATCCCTTCGCAAATCTTCATGCTCCTCCGCGTCCAGAGAGTCCAAGCCCGGCTTTACCACCAAAGAAAGCGAAGCAACCACCACCACGACCTGCTCCCCCGAGACCTGTTCAAGGCCCATCAGGACCCTTGCGAGCAGCACCTGCACCGCCAACTCCCTCGCCTACTCCAGATCCATTTGCTAATGCAAATTCGGATCCGTTTGCTGCCCCGGTACAGGGCATTGCGGACAACAACAACGATAACACCTTCGATTCTCCTTCCACCGGATTTGCTGACTTCGCAAACTTCGATTCTAAGGTTAGTTACAAAAGGCATTATCCTTCATTTTAGCACGATTAACCAAGCTTGCTGAATTTAGTTCCTTAAGAGGCCTTGATGCGTAAGCTAGTTGGTTGAATCTATCGTTACGTCTCTTTTGGAAATTATCTAAACTTTTTTACACGTCGGTGTATTACAATCCACGAGGTTAATTGTCACTTTACAATGTTACCACGTTATTGCCAAATGGTGGTTTACCACTTTGTCAATAGTAACACTTAGCCAACTCAGGAGTCGGTTTCTGTTCGGCGTTTACTTGATGTCGATAAATTCCCCCGCTCCATTTCCCCTCGGTCTATGTCGTTTCAAAACGTAGATTCCCGAAATCACGAATACTGCACCATGTGGCCAGACCCCGCTATTGAAGCAGTTATTAATATTTTTAAAAAATTATAATTCATTACTAGCTTCATTTCTATTAATACTAGTATTATGGAATGATTGTAATAGACAATAATAATTATCATTATTTTTTATTATAATTATTACGAATATTTATTAATAATGGGATAACATTATAGGATATTATAACTTCCTCTCATGAGAGAATGGGTAGCACGCGATTTTTATAAAAATTAATGATAAACCAACAAAAAATGTTCCCAGAAATGGGTACTAGTTGACAATGTAATTGAAAAATTTTGCGTCATATTGCTTAAAAAAAGAATATTCACATAGAACGATTATAAAGTAAACTTCCATTTGTTCATAATAATTTATCACATGAGTGATATAGGTCTTAATTTTTTAATTCATCCGTAATTGTTCGGTTGATAAAAGTATTTTGAATATAGAATGCAATTAAATAGTAGTTTCTGAGTTATAAACAGTATCAAAGAATAATTTTTGGTTACTACTAATTTCAAATTGTTTGTATTTGATTAATCGCCCATCTCAGAATTTCAGATCGGATCTATCCTTAGGTCTAAAATGTTGAACTTAGAGAGTTTCGTTTATGGAGAAGCTGCACTTGTTATGGCCAAATTCAGACCGGGAGCGACAAGTTACTGGCAGCAAGCAACAATCAATGAAGAATGCAAATTTTCTGCACCTTTACCGTCATTTTAGAAACAGTATCATTGATGGTCGCTTGTTACTCGGTTCTTGTCGTTTTCGAATTGAATCTGGCAATAGAGCGCGCAGCTTTTCCATATTAAAAACCCTTTAGGTTCAAAAATTCGGACCGAGAACTGATTCGATCTCAAATTATGAGATGGACAAGCAAACAAACAAATATAAACAATTTCAAATTAATCATAATACAAAAACTTTTTAATGAAAAAAAAAGTCGACTTCAAGACAGACAGTACAAAGTAATAAATAATGGTGTACAAGCTACTTATCTTCTAACTACTGTACATTTTTAAAGCCCTTAGTCACCTTCTTTTAATACGTTAATACGTTATATGCCATAAAAATATGATATAATAAAAAATAATTCGTAAATGACAAGAAGAGAGTATAAAATAACATTATTAGAATATGATAAAATTACCGGTAATTTCAGTTATAAATAAACCGAGTGGAGCATTTAACCTGTTAACTGCGGAATTTACTTACGGGTTACCGACGTGTATATACGTTTTTGGTTACAGTAAATTCTGCGGTAAACAAATTAATTTGAGACACCGTTACGTTTGAGGAACAAAGCATTTTAGTGGAAATGTGTTAAATAAAGCTTCTTCGATTTCGAAACGGAAGTATAATAATAATATTTATTATGCATTCGAAGGTCATTTCAGGATCAGCTTTAATTTTTTTTTTAACTAAAGCCCGATTATTTTATTACAACATTATATTGAATGAAAAAAAAAGTAACTTTCATTAGAGCGATTATTTAATACGGCTTCAGTTTTGCAAGACAATAATGAAAATAATGTCAAAAACGTTTAATTTCGAGTTACCTTATTCAATGGCACCATTCTACTGTTTACATCAGTCAGTTACTACATTTCCACCGGCACCTTAAGGTGATACGAAAAGGTTAGTCTATATATATCTGTGAAGTCAAATCGTTCGTGAGAGGATTCTCCAAATTGAGCGTACAGATTCGTTTCCAATTTTTCCCGTGAATATAAAGGCCCTAAGACAGATCCTGAACCGCATGAAATTTCACTTTTTATTAAACAATTTTTTTTATTTATCACGGACTAAAACCAACATGGCGTCGTCCATGCACGTTTTTGATATTTTGCGCCTTTTGAAGGCTTAGAATCGAAAATGAAGAGTTTCAAGACTTAACTCGAACAAATTAGAATACCATAGGAATTAATTATTACAGAGTTAGATGAGAAAATATGGAAAATACTTTCACGAACGATGGCAAAAGAATGTGGGCGTGTCTTGCGGGTAACGCGTGTTTTTAGAGAAAAAATGTAGTTGCAGCTAAATGTTACAGGTGGCGCTATTGGTTCATTAGAGTATTCAAAATCATGAATCCACGGAATTTCGTCAATTTTACTTGGATCTCTTTATAATTATTCTACCGAAATGAAATATAGAACACTTCATATCGTATCGTTCTCAACGTAGAGTGTAACAGACATCAACATAAATATAAATATCCGTAATGTGGCAGCTTATATCATTTGAATATCCAAAATAGCGTTACCACCAAAAAGGGTATAGATAAATTTTATTTTTATCGCCGATTAATTTTCTTGGCGCTTTTATATCATCTTACATATCGAATTTATAAGTATTGAATGAATAAGTCTGGCATTTAAGGGGATATGAAAGTAGCATCAGAGGAGTCAATCGTTGATGAAACCGTTCTCTGAACTGGGTGTACCGAATCGTTTCAAACTTTACAGTTTGAATTTGGAGACTCTAAGGTAGGTCCTGAAACTCGCGAAATTTCATTTGTTCATAAAGTTGTTTATAGATATTTAAATAAAATTGATGAAAAATGAAATTTCACGGGTGTCAGGACCATTCTTATAGCCTTCATATTGACATTGTCAAATTTGAAACGATTTGGTTTAGCCAGTTCGAAAAAAAGTTTCATGAACAATTGACCTTTCGGCTGTCACTTTCACATCCCCTTAATGTCGTTTCCACCACACTTCCACTGATATTTACAAATCCTGTAATTATTTCTACCGTCAAATCATGGCTTTAAGGTGATATGAAAAACGCTAAGAAATTTAATCGCAGGCGATAAAATAAAATTCATCTGTACCATTTTTTGTTAATATCTCCATTTTGGATACTTAAGTGGTAACATAAACGTGTTATATTACCGACATTTATATTTCTATGGAAGTCTCTTACACTCTACGTTGCGAATTATAAGAAATGAAGCGTTCCATATGTTATTTCAATAGAGTAATTATAGTGAGATCAAAGTCAAACTATCGATATCCCGTGGATTAATGATTTTTTGTACTGTAAGGAATCAACGGCTCCATCTGCAACGTTTAGCTGCAACTAAATTTTTGCTCTAAAAACACCTGTTATCCACGGAACAAGCCAATTTTCTCTTGCAATCATTGGTGAAACTATTTTCCATATTTTTCCATCCGATCTGTATTATTCCATTTCTATAGTATTCTAAATTGTTGAGCCAGATCATGGAACTCTTCATTTTCGATTCTATACTTTCAAAAAGCGTAAAATATCAAAAACGTGCACGGACGACGCCATGTTGATTATAATTCCTGATAAGCAATTTTATTATAAAAAGTTTAATGAGTTTCAATGTCTTACCGCACTCCTTCTTCACGTGGTAAAATTTGAAACGATTCGGCACACCTAATACGGAAAATACTTTCACGAACAATTTGACCTCTCCGATATACAGGATGTCTCAAAATATATTATATAATTAATTTTTCAAGGGGCGAAAGAGGGTGGAATTTTGAACAAGAAGTTCTTTTTCCATTTTTGGCTCAGAACATTTCTCGTCGAATTATGCGTAATTAAAGTTGAGCAACGAGACGGCGCGCAGCCGGAACACGCAGGGGCGCATCGCTTCATGGAGCCCCTTGCTCATGCCTTACGTTCCTCCAGAAAAATTTCATTTTAATATGTCAAATTATTTAATGAATGAATGTCAAATTATTTAGTAAATGACTAAATAAATAAATAAGTAAGAATAAAACAGTTATAAGTTCATCAAATAATTTAAAAATCATTATTTAACTACATAATAAATCAATAAATTATTGATTGAACAATTAATGAACTAATTCATTAATTGTCAGTCAGTAATTTATTGATTTATTATGGAGTTAAATAATGATTTTTAAATTAATTATTTGATCAATTTATAACTGTTTTTATTCTTATTTATTTATTCATTCATTTATTAAATAATGTGACGTATTAAAATGACATTTTTTCTGGAGGAACGTAAAGCACGAGCGAGGGGCACCATGGCGTGCCACAACCCTGCATAATCCGGTCGCGTGCCGTCTCGTTGGTCAACTTTCTATTAACAATGAAAAATGTTCTGAGCCAATAACGGGAAAGAAACTTCTAGTTCAAAATTCCACCATCTTTCACCGCTTGAAAGGATTATCGATTATAGAACACCCTGTATATAGACTGATCATTCTATAACACCTTAAGAAGTTCTTCATACTTACAAATCCGGTACTAGGATATCGATGGAAACGTAGTAAGTGTTCGTATCGGTTCGTATCGGTTCGTATCGGTTGAGAAAAATCACCACAGTTACAAAAAAAATAGAATTACCCTCTTCATTTAAACAAATGTAAAAATGGTAACCTATTGCCCAAAATAACTCTATATAGAACGTTCTTAATATTATTTTTATTATTATCTTACGAAGTTGAAAAGATAAAAAATATTTCCGTTGAACGTTACTACTGTTTCATATAATACGATATTGAAATTAAAAAATAAGGCTTCTATTTAACCCTTTAACTACGGCTGAGTCAGACGTGGAGATGTACCACCTGTACGGATACCTTGACCGCGGAGTGCTAATGTTTTGTTCGAATTCATTTTCTAAG